CGGTTCGAGAGCCTTAAAAAATATTTAATATTTTGAGTTAAGTTTTTTTATGTCTCTGCTAAGAAATGCGCAAATCTACATAGTTATGTACAACGGTTTGTATGTATTTATATGGATAAAGCGTGGCAAGTTGTTGCTCGGGTTTTGAATTCATTTTATTTAATAAATTGATTTATGAACTAAAGTATAAGTACATGTACATATGTATGTATGTATGTACATAAGTGGTTGTAGTTATAATAAGCCTTGGAGCGTTTCTTGGAGTATTAAAGCAATTATTATTTATTTGTATATGTATGTATTTGTATTTGTTAGTGACAATGAAAGCTGCGGCATGCAATTTTAGCTCAGGCATCATAAGTAAATCGAACCGACCGTAGATGGAAAGGAGAAACTTTAAGTAGCACACATTAGTTCGCCGCTAGAAGCTCACTGAGGCATGAAAGGTTAATAATGTTAATTATAATAAATACATTTATATTTTTTTATTTTATATAACGCATGCAAAAAAGTAGCACACCAAAAAAAAAGTCATATGAGTGTTAGTAGTCAGGATTTGATGTGAAACAGCTTTCCAATGCAACTTTGAAAATAATTTGAATTTGTATGTGGAGTCTCCTCGCCACTCCAGGCGGCGTTAGAGACTCTTCTATCCAATCCAACTAGAGACATAAATTTTAAATGCCCTGCAACTGGGAGTAGCTAAAGGCTTAGGGCGTCTAAAATTCTACCTAAAACAGAGAGGCTTGATCGTCTTCGAAATTTTACACAGAAGTGGCGGGTAGTCCTAACCCGTTTCAGAGAACGACGGGAGTACAAAATACACTGACTTCCATACTTCTAGATTGCTGTAATATTATTAGGATGAGATCTATGCAAAGTTTGTAAGGATACTGGACGTTTTCCCTTGAAGTACCACTTTGTTATAGACAGTTAGGCTGCGATCAAGGTGCTACTACTCAACCTGAGTTACGGAATATTGAAAATTCCCACAACCCAATAGACAAGGCATATTCACTCTCTGCTGAGCCCCACTGCAGCGTGGTGGTGTTTGGAGAAATGAGGAAGCGAACGAATGCTTGAGACCTAGACCAGGCATACAATAAAATCCTCTAGGCGATTCAGAGTAGAGATAAGTAAAACACTTGACTTTCCATTTCCAAACCTTAATATTTGAGTTCACCAAGACACAGTCATGGAATGAGGCAACATTTATTGTATGGCTTGTACCATAAAGCGTTTCAGAAATCTTTTGAGGACGTTGAGAGCTGAAGCATTCCCGATGAGCTAGAGTCTTGAAACTTCAAACTTAGTTCAGAACCCGATGACAATGAAATATGAAAGAGGTATTAATCCGCTAGGTTGCGCTGGAGTCGAGAAATTCCAATAACTCGTATTTATAAGACGATTTGGTTCATATTTGGAACGTATAACTCCACAAAAAAACTAGGCGGTAGGTGGCGCGTATATCGAAATATTTCGAAACTCTGCATCTATGGCCTGATTTAGTTTATATTTATATTATATATTCTCTACATTGAATGGAATTTTGCAGATAGCGCAAGAGTGGAGATATTTGGTAAGCCCGTTTTTATGGTCCGATTCGTTTCATATTTAGAAAGCTTGTTTTAAAAATATTTTTTACTAATAACTTATTTAATATTCATATCATGAGTTAAAACCCGTTTCACATCAAAGAAAAATTTTAGGAAAAATAAAGTTTCAAACTAGAGATGTGCGATTGGTCAGTTAATTGAACAAGCTGATTAATCGAAACCTGATTAATTCATTAACTAAACAATACTAATATCTGACTAATCAAAATGATTAATTTCGCAGTTAATTCCATTTTGATTAATAAGAGACCCGAATAATTGCTGTTATATTTTAATTACATACGAGTAGTAACGATGTGCATTTTATTTCACAGCCAAAGCCACAATTTTATATGCAGATTTATAATGTTAGGTTATTAACAGTAAGAATAATGAGTGGAGAACCTCTACCATTTGTTTGGCATTGTGTGGAAGAAGAAAGTTACATTTAACATTTTCTTTTCATTGATAAGAAAAATATTTTGACAATTCGTCGGCAGCCAGTTCGAAAACGCCCTATCTCAGAAAACTTTTCAAGAATGCCATGTTTCAGAATTTGGTTCAAAAACGCCCTATCTAAGCACATTTTCAATACACTCTCATTTGAGATGGGTTGTTTTTGAACCGAATTTGGAAATAGGGCGTTCTTCACCAAAATTTTGAGATAGGGTGTTTTTATAAATAAAATTCTGAAATAGGGCGTTTTTCAAAAAAAAATTTAAGTAGGGCGTTCTTGAAAAGTTTTCTGAAATAGGACGTTTTCGAACCGGCTGCCGAGATAGATCGATCTTCCACTCAGTCGTCAAGTTCATCTAAACGCAAATGCCCGTAACCACGTAAACCCCGAGGACTTATTTGATTACGAGGCATTTAAGCGTTTATATACCCTGAATGTATTCTAATATTTAACCAATTTCATTTGCTTTGAAAGCAAACTCAAAAAAGAAATGAGAAAATTATTCAAATTTCAATAAATTTTTTTAGAGTAAACCTGATAGATCAATTTTTTCAGTTAATCAGGATTATGATTAATTAAAAAGAAAATATTTTGAATAATATTTGATTAATAATTGATTAATCGCACATCTCTGCTTTAAAAGGTTTGTAGAAAGAACTTGAATCATATTCAACTATAAAAATTGGCACAGTTTTAAGCTTTTAAACAGGTGGAGGGGTGCGTGAAGAAATCAAGCGGCAAAACAAAGCAAACAAAAAACGTATTTAGCGTCATAAGTACTAAATATATGCAGCTTAGGATTTCGACTACGCGAGCGTACACATTTCTATTTTGAGCGCACAAATTACAGTTAGCCGAGTACAAAATCACATGCATACGTGCACTTTTTGGTGAGACGAACTCCAGCCGGTGTCATAGAAATTAAATACATTATCGGTATTGGTGGCGGTTACTGTGGTGGTGCTGTTGTTGATGCGTACGTTTTTGGTGTGATTTTTATTAGTGCATTTTTTTGTACAATTTTCGCATGTTTGCTTAAGCATTTTTTTCGATTGCGATTTCAAGTTGGATTTCAATTTTGATTTTGCGCTTCCTTTCAGATGCTCTGCTGACTGCAACTCCTGGCTATGGCAAGCGCAACATGACATACAATGCTTTTTGGAGCATGTTTTGCCAATTGTATCTGGTGTAAGCGATTTTGTTAGGCTTTTGGTCTTGGTTTTTTGGTTTGGTGTCTTTTGTGTGCCACTTGCCGCGTTGGTGGTGTGAGATTGTTGCTGTTGCTGCGTACCCAAAAGTACCATCGTCTGTGATAATGTATCTGAGTGCATTGTTGTTGTGATTTGTGATAGTGACGATAAGGAAGATGACGATAGTGCTGATGGCGATGGTGTTACTGATGTCAATGAGGGTGTAGTTGCAGGTGTTGATGTGGATGTTACTGATGATTTCCTCATCGCCATCGTCAATGATGAGGGCAGCATTGTTGTAATGTCAGGCGATTGTGCTCGTGGCGTGGTGCTCGTGCAGGCTTTTGCTAAGGGTGTAGTTGTGGTGCTAGATGTGTTGTTGTTGTCAAATGACATTATCAGTGCCCTATGCGGTGTTGGTGGTGTGGAATCACCGAATGTCATTACTTTATCGCTCGCATTGGACCGC